TTCCTGCAAACCACAATAATCCTTCTGGGGCGCGGATACCAAATTTCAAATCCCAACGAAATTGTTTTCGATTTCATAATAGCAATATTGAAAAACGGAAAAGGGAAAAGGTTTGAAAGAATTGAAACTATGCGCGCATTGGTTGAAGTTGAATGTTGAAGAGACGGGTCACAGAGCGTTCCTCTAACGTTCAGTTAGAATGACGCACACAGAAAGTCGTCCACTGCAGTCGCAATGTCGCGCCATGACCAGCAGCGCTTCCAACTTTTCTCAAGAAACCACCAGCGCAAAATTGGGTATCATGTTCATTATCGGGACCACCAACAAATATTAAACTCAATTTTTAACTGGAATATGGCGGAAAAAAAGTTGCAACACCAGAAGGGTGCCAAATGGTGCCGAAGTGGCGTAAATTGGAGCCATCTGGAAAAACGGATGTCATTCGTGATCAGAGCATTAGATATTCCTCAAAGTAGAAGTTTTAGAAAAAAATTGAGATTTTGAGCCAGTTCCGAAAAATTGGCCATCGTCGGTCGTCCATGGGGTACTCCAGCCAGCGATTGGAAAATGAGTTTCCTCGTAATCCTCCAATAATAAGAAATTCCACTACAGAATAGATAGTGGCAGGCAGCCAAGCTGGTGACGGGAGACAGCACCTGCATGAATCGGATTCGACAAATTCCCCCTTCATCAATTCTTGGTATCTTGGATCTTCGTCTCTTCCACTCGTAGGACTTCATCTCATACCTGGAGCGATTTCAAGGACAGGGACGTCGTGGTAGACGCTACCTATGAAACCGAGCTTTGGATTCCGTGAATCATCAGGGTGTTACGCTTGATGTGCGCGCAGCGCTCATCTTCAAGTCGCTCGCTGGCGTACATGACGACGTCTGGCCCATGTCACCTCATTTTTCGAAGATAGTTCAAAATTTCGCTTTTCGTCGAAAGTTTGCCTATAAGGGTAAATCGAGGTGCTGATCACGAATATGGCTCTCTCTATTGGCGTCGGCGCCATTCAGCGTCAGTATGGCGCTACTCATCCATTCTGATACTTTTCGATAGTAAACCCATTTGCATTTGTCTGCTGGTGGTCCTCATTGTGAATATAGCGTTAGATTTGACGCCGAAGTAATTTGAGAAGTCATATGGAGATGACGGGCGGAAGTGGTGTAGTGACAAGTGGCGCGCTTACCACGCGAGCGGTCCGGGGATCAAATCCTGGGTCGTGAGTCGCCCGGGCCAACCAAGCCTTCCATCCCTCCGGGGTCGGTTAATTGGTACCAGACTTGTCTGGGAGGATAAAAACACTGACTTGTACATCGGCTGGCCCCGCAAGTCATTGTATAATTACTACATTTCGGATATGTGTTGTTTCTTCTGTGCCATACAGGTTGTTATGGTGGAACACGTTTATTGGTCAACGTTTCGACAATTCGTCGTCTTCAGGACCTGTGGCGAGTCCACCAGTATTTGCAGCCTCCTCTTCTTGTTAGTGAGCGAATAAAATATTATTAATAATTATTAAAAAAGAAGGTAATAAGCATAATTGCAGCTGATGAGGAAATGGTTGACATAAAATCAACAAAAAAATTATGCAGAAGCAAATTACATATTTGGAACTCACTCACCCGTGGAAAAGAAGCGCGCAGTTGAGAATATTAACAGAAATTAGTCGGATTCAGCTCTAAACAGCTGATAAATTTCGATTGATCGGCAGACGTGGCGAGAGCGCAGACGGAAAGGCTGCGTCGTACTGCTGAGATAGTGTGGATGCGGAGAAGTGCAGACGACAAGACGGACTGCCAGCCACCCGTCTTCACCACTAAGATTCGCTATGGAACGGCAACATTCCATTGCGGCGCAGTTGCGCCGCAGCGCTAGAAAGTCCGTGGGACCGCCCCCTCAACTGGTCGGATATGGACTGTACGTGCTGAACGAATCAAATTTTTCACAAACAGCTAACTTAAAATAAAGGAAAGAGGAACACTGTATAATCAGTGAAGTAAAGGCTACCTTTCTATACTGACTGGGATTCGTGATGCGTTACCATTCTAGCGCGCTTTTGAATTCATGGGCTCGACTCAGTTGCTCACCAGTGCGCAACGGAGGACTTCGACGACTCATTTACTGTCCAAGCTGTGAACAGCACGGCGAGGAAATGACTGCGGCAGTACCAATGGCCCCCATCCCACAATCCGATGGTTCCTTTTGTCAATAGTGGCGTCCTTGATCCTGGTTGACACTTTGACGACAGCGCAGGCACATGCGCCTCACACTTTGCAGGCCATGACGGACAGCGCGAATGTGTCCTGCATTCATCACACTCATTTTTTCGCCAGATTCATTTATGAGTTTTTTTTTGATTTACGCGAATGTGTCACGCATTCATCACGGTCTTTTTTCGCTTGATTCATTCATGTGCTTTTTTTAAATTTATTCCGCAAGAGACCACAGCATAGCTGCAAACACTGTGGGCCAAAACCTTGTCACGCGTGCTTTGATTTAGAGGAGGGTTTCTGAACCTTTCTAAATCTTCTTTTAGTTGGTTTTTCGTAAATATGAAGTTGAAAAGGTTACTTAAAGTAAGTGCGGACCTGAAGAATGACGAGATATGTTTTGACTGACTTTTTACAATCAAGGTAAAATTGCCTTTGAGGTCCATAATAACTTTTCGATTGAAATTTCACCAATGTACCTGGGTAGCTTCCACGCACTGAAAATTATTGATCTAATTCTGTATAAATGACGTTTTATGTATTTAACCTCGTTAAAATCCGCCGGAATGACCTGCAGCTGCGCTCGCAAAATCGCACAGGTCTCGCGCGGCCAAACACACCAAAATGCGTGTTTTGGTCAAGCTGCTAAATTGACAGCATCAACTTCGCCCCCGATGCTACATACAGCGGCGAGACCGAAAAAGGAATTTTGCCCATGTTGCACTTTGGCGATTTTTCCGTCGTAAAGAGTGCCGCCATTGAAAAAGCTCCACATCGGGTGTTACTCGAATGCCCCTCTATAAAGAGTCGCGAACCCCTCTTCACTCGTCTCTCCTTTAGACCTTATCGCATCCTAACCTAGTTTCACTAAAGACTTTCTGCTTAAACGCGATGCAAATCCGAGTACGCATGCATGTATTACCTGACTGTATTCCAATGTAACCAGTTTGTATGTAACCACCACACGTCGGGCTTCAGTGAAGCTGTAGAACCTGTGGAACATTAGGTTACTCAGCTTACTTATACAGCAGTAATACGCATGGAACGCGGAGCAAAACTAGTATTATGCTATGATACACTCCGTTGCAAAACTATACGACATACCCCAAATTTTGGGTTTCTGGAGTTGCGAAAGATAGGCACAAAAATGGCTTACACCATTCGATTCGGCGTATAAAGAACCTACATTAAAGAGTTATCATTATCACCATTATCATCGTCGAAGAGTTGAGCAGTTTTATCATTTTCCAGAAATTTAGGGTCAAAACATTAAAAAAATGGCCGTTGCAAAACTATACGACATAGCAGAAATTTCGACAATTTTTTTACTTCAGTAAAATTTTCACACCCAACAGTCATAACAGTGCAGTGTTGTAGATAATGTAGTTCAGGTGACGCTCTCACCTTGAGGAGCCGATCTAACATGTTTTCTACCAATGTTTGTAAGGCTTCCTCCAGGATCCGTGCGTAATCTTTGAATAGCGCTTTTTGCAGGCGATGCACGGAATTGTATCGACTTCTCTAGGAATAAAGACTACGATCAGGATGCCCTCAAGGTTTTCCACCGGATTTCGACCTGACTAAGAAGTGGGCCATTCGAGTAAATCTACTCGGTAGACTTCAAGGCAAGTCGAAGTTGTAGGGGAAAAGGGATATTTTAGAGTAGTTGGATGAAGGCCGGAAGAGAAGAGTGGAAGGAGGATAATGGAAGAAGATCAGAAGAAGTAAACAAGGACGATATAAAAGGGGTGATCTCAGTAGAATAAACGATTCCCCTCAAGTGTTCCTGAGCATCCGACTGGCGATCAGGCCAGTAACTCAAGAAGCGGAGGAGGCCGTCACCGAGTGAGGAGGCAGTAAACGTAGCAGTGGGAGCCGTGCACGGAGTACTCGAAGCGACAAGGATAGAAGACATCAGCGAAGAAGATGTCAACGAATCAGGGAAGTTCTGTCGTCATCAACCGGCGGTGGCGGAACCCGGGACCTTGGTGGAGGTCTACCGGGGACGTGCACCTGGCGCTTATGTGCCGGGAACACCGTGGCGCACTTGGATGGCGACTTCTCAATAATTTTCTCATTTTGAGGAAAGTCACAGATGAAATGGAGCAACGGCTTATATTTTTGCAGGAAATCGGCGGCAGCAATTACGAATTGTTGGAATCACTACTGCAAGGCAAGGAGCCGGAGCAGGTGACACTGAAGGAGCTGAGTGAAACGATGGCCGGCCATTTCCAGCCGAAGAAATTAATCCTGGCAGAACGCTATGGATTAATGTCACGCTCACAACGCCCTGGACAAGCACTGCAGGATTACTATGCGGAAGTACAGAAGGCTGCAGCGACGTGTGAGTTTGAGAGGATTACAGATCACCGGGACGCCATGGTTACCATGGTGTTTATTGGGGGGTTAGCCTCCATTGAAACTAGGAAACGGCTCTTGGAGAGGGAGATCCTGACCTCGAAGGAAGCTCTATAGGCGGCAGAGGCGTTTGAAAGAGTAATCAAAAACGCGCCTCATTTAAAAGAAGGAAGCCAAGAAGTGGAAATTTTGATGGTTCAGGCGGAAAGAGGAAAGCTTCCAAACTTGAAACGAGACATACCGCCCTCGAGAGCCAGAACAATGCAAAATAAAAGCCGGGTGAAAGAACAACAGCAGAGTGTGAGAGTAAACAACCGCTCGGAGGCTGCGGCTCAATGCACATGTTGTGGAGGTCGAGGGCATGTTTTTTATCAGTGCTTCAAAAAGCAAACTGCGTTTTGTGCAAACTGCTCTCGACCTGGGCACATGGCTAGGGCATGCAGATCGAGGAGGACTAATCTAAAAGTCTCCCGCCGGGTTAACTGGTGTGCGGAGCCCAGCACCTCCGACCTTGACGAGATGGACAGTGGTGAGAATAACATTGATAGAGTGAGTCATAAGGAACGTCAAGGTCGTAGAGAAGAGCTGGCAAAGTGGAGGCATCAGGCCGAGAGGTCCAGAAGGACCCAAGGTTTGAAGGTCGGACGATCCGCCAAGAGGCGTCGATCGGGAGGCCCGTCGTTGTGCCAGAAAGTGGAGCCAGCTTCTATGCTGAGCATAAATATCCACGGCACCGACATAGCGTGTGAATTGGATACCGGAGCCTCGGTATCGATATTGGATGTGTCATCATGGAAGAAAATAGGCAAGCCTCCACTCACGGAGCCCACAATAGAGGCCACAGCCTACAATAATAGCCCAATTCCAGTTTTGTGGCAAGTGCACAGTGTGGGTCAGTTCAATGGTAGGCAAGCGAAAATGGACCTGCATGTAGTGGAAGGAGCCACTCGTACTTTATGCGGAAGGGATATGATCAGAGCCCTGGAAATCGATTGTGGCCCCCATTATCAGAGTATACATGAAATGCAGGATAAACCCCTGCTGATGGTGGGAGTAGAAGCTCACCAGGATTTTACAGGATAATGCGGTGGTACCGGCCTTGGAAGATGTATAACCGCTCAAGACATTAAAATTTAAGGTAGAGCCAGTACCGAAGTTTTTTCGAGCACGACCGGTACCACTAGCATTACGACCTAAAGTAGAAGAGAAACTCAAAATGGTACACTAACCCAGGTGGACCATTCGGAGTGGGCTACTCCGTTAGTGGTAGTTCCAAAACCTGGAGGTAAAATCAGAATATGCGGTGACTATAAAATAACAATAAATCCGCAATTGGATATAAATCAGTATCCGCTACCAAAACCAGATGATTTGTTCCACATGTTGAAGGGTGGACGGAAGTTTTCAAAGATGGACCTGTCAGAGGCATATATGCAGGTCGAGCTGGATAAAGAATCCAGGAAATACACTACCGTGAATACCCAAAAAGGGCTTTTTGAGTACAACCGGATAGCATTTGGAATAGCATCCGCTCCGGCGATTTTTCAGAAAATAATGGAAACTACACTAGCCGGAATAGAGGGGGTAGTAATTTACTTGGATGATATAACGGTCACGGGACCGGATGATGATACCCACCTCGACAGACTTGAGAAGGTCTTACAAAGGTTAAAAGCGGCGGGATTCCGCTTGAAGCGAAGCAAATGTGAATTTTTGAAGACGCAGATGGAGTTCTTAGGCCATCCCCCCATAAAGTAGAGGCTATGCAGGGAATGCCTCCACCAAAAAACATTAAGGAATTGGAATGATCCAGTATTATGGCAAATTATACCAAATCTGTCCAACGTTAGCCGCCCCATTAAATTCGTTGAGGAAAAAGGGAGCGGAATGGTGTTGGAGTAAAGAATGCCAAATGGCATTCGGAGAGATAAAACGCAGATTAACTGCGGCTGATGTACTTGCCCATTATGATCCTGATGTGCCCGTCGTGCTAGCTACGGATGCATCGGACTATGGGGTAGGAGCAGTAATCTACCACAAGTACAAAGACGGCACAGAAAAAGTGATCGCGTATGCCTCACGTTCGCTAACTAAAGAGGAAAGAAATTATGCGCAGATAGAAAAAGAAGCGCTAGGCATAGTCTATGGGGTGGAGAAGTTCAATCAATTTTTATATGGTAGGAGATTCACGTTATTGACAGATCACCAGCCATTGGTGAGGATATTTGGTCCGAAAAATGGACTGCCCACGATAGCAGCTAAGAGACTGCATCGATGGGGGCTTGCGGTTGATGGTTTATTCATTCGACATTCAATATCGGAAAACTGCGGAATTTGGTAAGCGGAGGGGTTGTCACGGCTACCTGACTGCAGAGGGTTTACTTACACTTACTTTGCAGAGAGTTACCTAGCGCAGAAGCCGTCATTAGTGAGTTTCAGGCGAGAGCCATGGAACAAGAGATTTTTGAAAATTTGCCCCTGTCAGAAGAAGTAGTAGCCAAAGCGACATTGGAGGATCCAGAATTAGTTAAGGTCTTACAGTATGTCAGGAAGGGCTGGCCGCCTAAAATAGAAGAGAAGTTGAAGGCCTATGCTGTGAAGAGTGCAGCAATATCAATATACGAAGGGTGTCTCCTGTGGGAAAACAGGGTGATCGTTCCGTTCAAGTTTAGAAAAAAGGTGTTGCAAATGTTGCATACCAGCCATTACGGAAAAAACCGCATGATAAGTCTCGCCCGGAGGAAAGTATGGTACCCGGGAATTGATAAGGAAATTGCTCAATTAGCGAGGACTTGTGAGACTTGTGCCGTTTTCGCAAACGACCCTGTGAAGACACCACTGCATTTGTGGGAAGAGCCAGCCAAACCTTGGCAGAGAATACACATAGATTTCTGCCAGACACAAGGTGGAGAAAAGTGGCTGATAGCGGTCGACGCTAAGTCGAAGTGGCCGGAGGTGGTCCGGATGGGCCTAACTACGGCCGAAAAAACCATAGAGAAGTTGCGAATGATCTTCGCCACGCATGGGCTTCCGGAGCAAATTGTATCCGATAACGGACCCCCATTTGCGTCAGCGATGTTCAGGAGATTCTGCGAAGCGAGGAATATTACGTTAATTTTGACCTCGCCATACCATCCTAATTCTAATGGCGAAGCAGAAAGGTTCGTCCAGACTTTCAAGAAAGGATGGTATAAAGGGCTTCGGGATGGTAGGAAGCCGGAAAATGTGCTGACGGAATTGCTCTTCGAGTATAGAGTAACCCCTCACCGTGCGACCGGTAGGTCGCCGGCTGAAATACTGATGGGGAGAGAATTGAGAACAACGTTAGACATAAGGAAAACGAAGGATAAGGTAACCGGAAGTAGTGCTTATAGAGAACGCATGATTGCCGACTACAACAAGAGGGGGAGAAGAGAGAGAACTTTTGTAGTCGGCCAGCAAGTCTACATTCGGAATTACCAGAAAGGTGACAGGTGGATACCAGGAATTGTCACCCAAGTTTTGAGTGGGCAGATGTATGTGATTCATTTTGGCATCGGTGAAGATAGCCCAAAAAGGAAGGCCAGGATTGGAACAAGGGTTGCCGCAGAGAAGGTCAGAGCGAATACGTAAAATGACAGACAGGATGAAGAGTTATGTGGAAAAACGGGAAAAAATGAGTATAATTAAGCATAGCGTTAATGTAGTGGACGCGATAAGTTGGGTGAATGATAGGGACGTGGATGGTGATATAAAAGGAGTAGTAGCGGTGAGGTTGGCAATTATGTGGACGTATGTGCCTAGCGCAGCTGTGCCACCACCACCACCGCCGACTACGCAAGCCGTCACGACGTCGTCGCCCGCCGGAAAAGGCTCTCCCATAGTGATCCTGCACCAGTTGTCGCGACGGTAAGTAATATGAGTTTGGGTATGGAGTCACGATGTAGTAGAACGAATATGTTCAGCAGCCGGCACCGCCGCAGGTTGGGAACGTGGAGCCGACGCGCGAGGGACGTCCGGCAGGGTGGCAAGGCCGTGGGTCCTACAGAGGTCGTGGACCCCGTAGGGGGCGACGTGGACGTCGCCCGACACTTCGTCAGGAGCTGGAACCAAATGCGCACAACTCGCTGCGCAGATTCAAGAAGCGGCGAATCCCAATACGCGCTCCCGCAGAGCGGAGAACGAAACAGGGTAGCGATGATTCTCGATGATGTACGTTCTTTTCTTGGAGACAAATAAAGAGGTGTTGCAATGGTGTACAGGTCAAAGAGTCGCGGTACCGACTGTGGGATAAAGTTTCCCTAGTCAGTGGGGTCGTGTGAGTGATTAGGCAAGTGACTAAAGGTCACTTGGGGGGAGATGTAGGGGAATAGGGATATTTTAGATAGTTGGATGAAGGCCGGAAGAGAAGAGTGGAAGGAGGATAATGGAAGAAGATCAGAAGAAGTAAACAAGGACGATATAAAAGGGGTGATCTCAGTAGAATAAACGATTCCCCTCAAGTGTTCCTGAGCATCCGACTGAAGTCTACTTAAAAACATGTATAACAGCGTTGTACTGCTGGAAATATCCCGATGATGACGATTCTGCGTCGTATACGGTAGCTGGCGATGAATGAGCAATTCCTGCTAGTCCGTGGAGTTCATTCCTTGAATCGTGAAGACAACGTCCAGCTTGCCACACCAGCTATAGGCTGTGCAGTATCATTACCAAGCTCCTCTTCGAGAAGAAGATGGATTTCTGCTAGAATCACTTCTGTACTAGTGCCATTCATCAGAATGGATAAGAGGAACATCTTTCCGCCGAAGAGAACTACCTACAATATGAAACACCAAATAAGTTCTTCCTCCTTTAGGTCATAAGCCAAGAAGTGCAAATTTGTACGGCAAGCTAAAAGATTCACCGATTAACGCTGTGCTTTAAGATCACCGTCTACAGTCTACGATGCCAAACCGTTGTTATCTGCACAATTTTCAGCGGTTCAACGCTCCATGTTATTGAATCAACTTCGACTTGATTTGAAGCTTACCATGTAGATTAACTAGGATGGTCCACTTCTTAGTCAGGTCTAAATCCGGTGGAAAACCTATAGGGCATCCTTGTTCGTAGTCTTCATTCCTAGAGAAGTCGATACAAATTTATCTGCAGTTTTGCAGAATAACCATTCCGAAAGCCCGTGAATCATCCCAAACATTCCTTACATAAGTCTTCTGTCATCGTGTGCCTTCACAGAATACTTTCATATTGGACTCCAAGCTCTCTCATCTTGAAACCTCGGCATGTTCGTTGTTATTGTGTAATTTGTGCTTCTGCCACGAGGTTTTTAGGTGGAATCTTTATTCGGCCAACGTTTCGACCTTCACGTCGTTTTCAAAGGCCTAAACATGGCTCAAGGCTTAAGAATCGCTCACTACCCCACCAAACGCCTCATCCCTTCTAGCGTTTCTGACTCATCTCAGGAACGCAAGAGAAATACCAAAACTTGAAAGATAAGCTCACCACAGAATCCACCGCTTGAGTGTAGGGCTACACTCGGTTAGTACATTAGTAGCGAATGGATGTCACTTAACTGTCCTTATACAGTTATGATGTTGAGGACATGCACGTTCGCTTATTGAGGAAACAGCTCGCAATGTTGCATAAACGGCAAGAGGTCATTTGTAATAGACACACACTCATTCCGGTTGTTCATTCCTGGATTTCTTGCTGAAATCCAGAATGCTTCTAACGCTTTTCTAGACGAAATCTCTGTCTCATGGGCTAGTATTCTACACCTGATATCAAAATCATTACCATCATGCTGTTCTACCCTGTGCTTCCTAACGGTGTCAACACATTACTGCGCCGTTTACCAGATAGGTGTTCTTTAATGCGAACTGATAAAGTTCTACCAGTTTCCCCTATGTATGTTGAGTTACAAGTCTCGCATTCAATCTGGTAATTACGCCTGCTAGAGCGCAATCTCCAGCTTTCCCATTCGGACAAGTAACACAAGCCCTCTGATACGCACTGCTTGTCGTAAAGTCTGTTCCTCACAAGTTGGCGTTTGATGTTATCGTTGGGGATATTTACCAAAATGACATCATCGCTCAACTGTGCGCGAA